TTTGCTGCCTTAAATTGTATACTGCTCCCGTACGTTTTAATATATCCGCAAAGACTCTCCGTTCTTTAATTGATGGCGGATATTCAGAACTTAATTTAAACAGTTGCTCGTATAATCCCACAGTACCTATGTATTTAAATTTTCCATCGATTACGACGTCTGATCCATCAAAATCTATTTCAGAATCGCCGATAAAAAATTTATTTGTGTCACATTCGTATCGAACTTTGTCAAGACGCGGATTCACAACGTCAGTGTTAAATCTATCACCTTCATAGTCTTTAATAATTCCTTCTATATAGTCTCGAGGTAGAGGATCGAATTCCTCCAAATATTCTCCAAATCGAGAGCTATTGATATAATCTATATATGCTTTTTTTAATTGTTCGAACTCACTGTCATCCCTTCTTGGGTCAACTTCATATACACTTTCTTCCCTTAAGAAGGAAGGAGGACCTTGAAGTATGGTAGCTGGAGCATTCGAAGGATCAAGTTTTCTAATTTTTATTGGAGTTGATGATGCTGGAATATCAACTTTCGACCAATTAACAACATCTGGTTTTAATTCCTTTTTGATCTCTTCACCCAACTCAAGTGAAGAAGCGATTTTGTAATTAGTTGATAAGCTTGTTGCAATAGAAGATTCTGTCCTACCATCGATTCCTTTAACATTTGTAGTTTCCTCTTTACTGCTTTCCTATCTTGAATTAGTTCTTTCTTTGCTTTCACATCCATGCCGTTTTTATGGTTGTCTTTTAACAAGTGGTTTCATTTATATTACCTACAGTAATATATATTTATCGAATCCTATGCGGTATCTCCCGTCATTTATACCACAATCCTTGTTAATAACTACAAATCCAAATTTTTCTTTCCAACATTCTCCACATATACTTTTAAATTGGTTAAAAGTCATATCTGCAGTAACATGGTCGGAAAAAACGTGTTTTAGATTTAATTCGTCTTGTTGAAACAGTATTATTAAATTAGCATTATCTCTGATTAAATGTTTAGGGATCTGAGCCTATGTTTGATTTAAATAAAAAGTATCGATTGAGTTATGCCTTTCCATACTAAAATATTCTCTTATCTTACTCTGATTGTCATTCGCAACATCATCAAAGATGAATACAGAATTAGATTTCGCCTGTGATGGACCTATTACTTCATCAGAATTTCTAAAGGGAAAATAACCAATTCCAGCAATTGGTTGTAATTATTCATTTAAATATTTATATTTTGGTTGATATAGCGACTTTGAATAAACATAAACGTTTTCAAACCGTAAACCGTTTGGTTGCTCCAAAAGTCCTATAATCACATTTGTTTTTCCACAGTTTGAAGGTCCAGCGACGATGCATCTTATTGTTGATGGTAATAAAGGCCCATGACGATTTATTTTCGCAGCAATGTTGAAGTCGCGATTGGTTATCGGTAGAGCAGATGGATGTTGTACTATCCGCATGTTTCTTCATTATTAAACGATTTTGCTGTGTTAACGGATATATAAATTTAGAGTTAACGTTGCTTATATAGTCAGTTGGTTCGCAATAGTGAAAGCACTCACACCAAACCTAATACATGAAACGCGGCGTTCTGAATAGTATTATAGATAAGTTACCCATTGAAATACACCTCCCAGGTTATAATTTTTGTGGTCCAGGGACACGATTAAACAAACGATTAGCGAGAGGTGATATCGGTATAAATCCTCTCGACGAATATTGTAAATTGCACGATATTGTATACGCAATTTCACCAGACATTTCACAACGTCGAATAGCGGACAAGGTTTTAGCGCATCAATCTTTACGAAGACTAAAGTCATCAGACGCATCTATAGGTGAACGCTTTGCAGCTCTCGCAATTGCTTCGGCTATGAAGACTAAGGAGAAACTTGGAATGGGGCACAAACGACGACGACTACGTCGTAGTAAAAAAGGTGGTTCGATTCCGTTGACTAGAATAAATAAGAGAAAACGAATAAAAAAAGGAGGAGTTCTACCGTTTCGCAAATTAGTAACAACTGCGAAACTTGTTCTTAAGAAAAATAAGCCCTTACAGTTATTAGAGGCTGCTAAAATTGCACTGAATCAAATTCGAAAACTTGGAAAACGATCTAAATTTCCTAGAATCATTCCCATTCCAAAGACAGGTGGTTTTTTACCGTTAATTCCGATTTTTGCGGGACTATCGGCACTTGGAGCTCTTTCTGGTGGTGCTGCTGGAATTGCTAAAGCTGTACAAGATGCTAAATCAGCGCAGCAACAACTAGAAGAAGCTAAACGTCATAACAATTCAATGGAAGCCATTGCTCTTGGGAAAAATATTTCCATACAACCTTCCCGTAAAGGTTTCGGTTTATACCTTAAACCGTTTCAACAAAAAAAAACACAAATTTTTTCCTGAAATTACCTAATCATCCTCTAACAGATTCAGATTTACACAATTACATTCGCTATTTACAAATTCCACATTTTCGTGGAATCTTCATGCGTAACGAATTACCAAGAAAAGTTAAAAGATATGAAAGTGGAATTGTTAATTTAGATACCGGAACTGGTACACATTGGACAGCGTATGTAAAACGAAACAGCAAAGCTATTTACTTTGACAGTTTTGGTAATCTCCGTCCACCTAAAGAATTGGTTCAATATTTACAATCTGCTGGACCTTGCGATATCACTTATAACTACAATCGTGTTCAGAACCCCACCGATTTTAACTGTGGTCATTTAGTTCTCCAATTCCTGCAGAAGATTACGTAAATCCTTTTTTAATACAAACCATTAAAATTTCTTCTCTGTATTAAACAGAACGTTAAACCGAAAACATGTCTTACACATTCGCCTTGACTGCTACAACGTCGGAGCTACTAATGATAATAAGTCCACCGATTGTTTTAAGCGATGATGATGAATATCAAATAGCATTATTAAATTTTGAAGCCTACAACAGCATTCCCAATATTGATGAAAATAACAACAAATTTTATTTTGAAGATTCTAAGAAACCAGTCGTAGTTCTTCCGGAAGGATCATATGAAATTGATGATATTAATAATTTTCTTCAGGAGAAATTGGGAGATACTAACGATAGCATTCACTTGTCTGGAGACAATACTACATTAAAAAGTCGTATAAAGAGTACCAAAAATGTTGACTTTACTCCAACAGATTCTCCGGCGAAGATATTGGGTTTTGAAAATAAACTTCTATCATCGCTTCAAGAGGAGTCCGATCATGTAGCTGACATTTTCAAGGTAAACGCAATTTCAGTAACATGTAACCTTGTATCTAACTCCTACATACATACTAATGATGCTACTAAAGGACAAGATGGACATATATTACATCAATTCTTTCCCAATGTACCTCCCGGATTTAAAATTGTAGAGAATCCCACAAGTCTTATATATTTATCTATCAACAATCGTGTCATCGATTACATTTCCCTTAAAATAGTTGATCAAGACGGTAATCTTGTTAATTTCCGTGAAGAGCGTGTTACAGTAAGAATTCACTCACGAAAACTATAACATGGTTGCGCGATACAACTGTGTCCAACGTTATTCAAACAAAAATATTACTATAAAACGATCACCACACTCTGAAACGTTTATTTCGCTTACACCCGTTCAGCGAATAACACCGTCTAATAAACAGTTCCTTAAATCTTTGGGGTTGCAATTGAAAAAGGTGAAAAGTTAAAATGGTTGCAGAAATTATGGCACGCCAAAGTGGTATTTAATAACATAATAAAAATTGCAACTAGTGTCATTAGTTAACATAAAAATGGATAAAAAAATATTATAGTAACATAAGAATGATCTTAATTAAAATTTTGTCAGTACATAATTTTAAGGCCAAATTTTTTTTTACCATAACGTAATAATAAATCGATAAATTTATTTGTTTCACAATAAAATATTATTCAGGTAATTATTATTGTGTCTCGACTTAATAACAATTCACCAATTTAAAATTATACTTATACATATATTTAATGCGGAAATTTAATTATATCACAACATATTTCAAATTTAGAGATTGAGTCATTATTAAAACTTTTGGAAAAAAAATTATAGCACAACATAAAAATAATTCATCTCACTCACCTTCGATTATAATGTAATTTTAATTATGAATTATTTTTATGTACATAATTTTAATTCTGAATTTTTATTTTGTACATAATTTTAATTCTGATATTTGATCGATTCTTTCCATAAACATCGATGTATCGATTATTGTCTTAGAATAATCGATTCATTGATGTCGATTATTTTCTCTCAACATCCAATCGTGATAGAAAATGGTAAAGAAGCCTATTAATTAACTAGCTACATATCCAGTCGAATAACCGGCTAACTTCAGCATGATTGTTTATAATTAATACTAGAGAATAGAGACGTATACATCTCTATTCTCGGTTAAGGCCTTAGGGTGCCTTTTCATGGACAGTTTTTCGGCTCAATATTCCTTAATTTTTACTAGAAAACGTTCATGTAAAGGCACTCTAATACGTACAATGACTATATTATTTTCTTCTCGCTTTTAAAAAATATCATTTTCAAATTTCGCGGTAACTACCATTTTTCCGATTAAACTACAAACAAATCATGTTGGTAATTTTCCATTACTAACATCTAATGATAACTAAATAATTAAATAAAATATAATTGGTTATGATACGTAAATTATTATTTTATTCTTTTAATCATAAAAAATATAATTAGTTATGATACGTCATAAAGTTACTAAGAGACTAGAGTGGCTCCGATACGAGTGCATAGTTACAGCCCTGATGATTGTATGATGCACATGTGAGTTCACCCGCGTTTTCTCTTATAACCTTCACGAACACAAAACCATAAAAACAACAAGATTTACTCTAGCTAGCAATTCAATAGTTTCACATTTGTTTATACGTATAATATTATATAAACAATAATAATCGTGATTAATCGTGATAATATTGAGTAGTGTATTACTTATCAGGTAAGATATTCAAATCTTAATCCTTTTATATTATTCAATGGGTTGGAATAATTCTAATAACTATTATTTAGCATGGAGGTCCAAGTAGATGCACGTGTGGTCCAAACTCTCAGTAGGATTCGTCGAGTAATTGCTGAAACTGTCAGATTGTATCAGTGTAGTGAATCTATCAATTATAATTCTTTGTCTATTGCGAAACGAAATTTGACTAGAATTTCTACTGCAATATCAACGAATACTCATGATCAGCTTCTAGAAGCAATTGATGGTTTACTTAATATCAATTCAGACGATCAACAAGCAAAAACCTACGCAGCTCTTAGAATCAATCGAAATGTTTGTTTTTTTCATATTTTTTACTTACAATCTTTTAAATTGTCTCAAATAGTAGTAGATTAAGGACCCATTGATATTGAGCCTTCTATTGATTAGTGTTAAAATCTAAAAATAATGTATGTTTTATAAAGTGTGTTAAATAATTCTTCACGTATTAATATTATATAGTTAATTACATCACTAATATCAACGCGTATTATTATCAATGTGGGTATATGATATAATAATTAAATATTACTTAAGGAGTCATAATAGATTTGCATAATTGATTTGATTCGTTGAAATTCATTATTATTTTTCGAATTTTAGGCAAAGGTCGTCCTGCAGTCCAAATAAATGACGATCAATTAATATTAATGTATAATGAAGGGTTTTCTGCGGTTAACATAGCCAAAAACTTAGGTTGTTCGAAAAAAACAATTTATAACAAATTACTCAAGTTAAATTTACCCATACGTAGACGATATAATCAAATTTCTGACGAAGAATTACAATATAAAATTTTGGAAATTCATCAAAAGCATCCAAATGCCGGACAGACGGTAATGTTAAAAACTCCAATATTAACAGATTCTAGCTAGATCTATTGGATTCTAGCTAGATCCATCAGATAGCTGGATAATAAACCAAATAACTCGTTATTATTCTCATGTATTATTACAGATGATGCAGGGATATCTGAAAGCAGCTGGAGTTTATGTCCAAAGAGATAGAGTTAGAGTGGCAGGTGGAGTGCATCTATTCAAAGAAGGACATATAAAGTTGCAACGCCTAATTCTTTATGGCATATGGATGCTCACTTAAAGCTTTTGCGGTAAAATTTTTGTATTTTAATACCACTTAATAACTAGTTTTCTTGTATTAAAAATTATAAATGTAATTATATCATGATATTTGGTTATTCACAGATGGGGTTTCGTGATTCATGGCTGCATCGATGGGTATTCCAGATTAATAGTCTATTTAANTTTTAGGACAATTCCAGAGGGTCTTCAACAAGAGCTTCTGGTATTGTTGACAAAAGGGGCATGGTCTAACCTCTTCAGATGAAGAATGACCTAGAAAGACCTTCTAAAGATCCAAAATTGGTAAGATGTTGATGGATGGACCATGGCCTAGATTTGGGGAGCCGTGACCCAGATATAGTAACCCGCATCAATAACTACTATGGAAAAAGGGAGGAAGTATTAGGGGAAGATCAATTTGGATTTAGAAGATATACAGGAACGCGGGAGGTCATTCCAGCTTTACGGGTAACAATAGAGAAAACGATAAGGAAAGAAAAGGCGCGTACATAGGATTTCTATATTTAGAAGAAGCTTTTGACAATTTTAAATGAAATGAGACAGGATGTTAAATATACCTAAAAATGTAGGGATGAGTTGCAGAGATAGAAGAGTGGTAGTTAGTTTGTATAAAGAGCAATAGGCAGTTATAGAGCTGGAGCTGCAACGTAGAGAAGTAAATATTAGGGAGGAAATCAGACAGGGATGCACACTGTACCCGCTTCTTCTTAATCTATACATCGCAGACGCGATCAACATCATTAAAGATAGTACAACTGTAGGAATAGATATACAGGAGTAAAAGATTAGTATGCTTAGATTTGTAGATGATATAGCAGTATTAACATCTAGCAAGGAGGGGTTAGAGATAGCTTTAAATAAAATGGAAGTTGTACTGACAAAACAGTACTGTATGAAAATGAACAAAAGTAAAACAAAAATACTGGTATGCAAGGGAAGAATAAGTAGGGAAAGATCGAATATAAAGATAGGAGACGAAAGATTAGAAGAAGTGGCTGATTTTAGATATCTAGAAAGTTAGTTAAGTCAGGACGAATGAAACAGTAGGGATATAAAGCAGAGGATAGCGCAGGGTCGTGTTGCCTTTATTAAAAAGAAGTCACTTCCATGCTCGCGAACGGTTAATTTAGAAATTTGAGGGAGGTTGTTAAAGGTGTATGTTTTAAGCGCGTCGCGGGTGCGAAACATGGACGGTGGGCGCAGCGGAAAAGAAAATGTTAGAAGCGTTCGAAATATGGTATTACAGGCGAATGATAAGGACACCGTGGATAAAGAAGGTTCAAAATGAAGAGATATTAGAAAAAATAGGAGAAAAGAAGACTCTATGGAAGTGAAGAGAAATAGGTGAGAACTAGATGAGATTACTTTTTGCAAATAGTTACGGATGTATACTTCATTTACTTTCTCTAGCGATGTGCCCCTTCGAATGTCTTGGATGCGCGCTGGCAAAATCATAGGTAGGGAAAAAAAGCACTTTATACTCTCGGCTCTTGTTCATTAAACATACTTTTTCATACAGTACCTTCCAAAAGTTTTGTTCAATCATGAATAGTAGTGCGAGTCGAAAACAAGCCTTGAAGCCTTTAATATGTCTTCAAATATAAATAAAATATCTCGTTGATATTTCGATATTTTCAGTAGTAATTGGTACCAATAACAGCAAATTTGAGTAATACAATTGTAGTGGATAAAACAGTCAATTTTTCTGTGGATTACAGATTATACGCTCCTCACCGGTTATGAGTTTGGCCGAGAGTTGTCTCCTTTCTTTTCTGGCCTAGTGCTGTTCTTTTCTACTTTGCGCTCGTCAAACTAAAGGTCACATCGCTAGAGAATAAGTATAAGTTGTTCTAGTTTTAGGAAAATGCGTAGATATGCGCCATCATTAGGCCAGTGAAGCGTCACATCATACACCCCATTGTATTTGTGTAATTGGTAATTGTTCGACATCTGTACTGATTTCAATTTCTAGTCTGGGTTTTTGCTACATCTACATATAGTAAAAATATGTGCATATTAGGTAACAATGTAAAAAAGTGCTTAACTAAAAGTTCTCAATTGTGGAGATAAATGCGAAAAATATTTTAAAACCATTAAACTGGTAGCTTTGATTCTAAAATTAAATTCAAATTTATAAATTTTAATACCTGCAGCAGCTGTACAATTAATACTTTAGGTATATGACTGTAACAAATTTTATGTATGTCAGGTGGTAAAAAAAGACATTGTAATTTTTTCAAAAATGCTTTTTCTTGCCAATTTTGGAACATTTGAAGGATTAATTGACTCAATATTCTGAATCAAAGTAATTCAGAAAAAAGATCTCACATAATACTAATTTACAATAGCTATGTACTTTTTTTCATTTTTCGTTTCGTTATCTTAACATAGTGATGGTGTTATAATTACATAAAACAATTTAATAATTTTTAGACTAGGAAACACTTTATCCAATACAGTAAACCTATCGTTTACATTTTGAAATTTAACATAATACATAACACGGAGTTTTTATTACGATTAAACTAAATTAATAGCAAAATAATTTGAAGAAGAACAATACAAATGATTATACATACATTGGTATATTACAGAAATATTAGATATCCAATGTTTTTACCTTAGTTTATCTGCTATACAAATGTATCTGAATATAACATAAGTAATTAATTTCTATATAATAATAATAAATTAAAGGTATTTAGGCAGAATGTCAATAATATTAGGAGTAAGTTTTATTATAATCTTATCTGATTATTTATTGCATCCCGTAATTAAAAGGTTGGTTTGTGTTAAGCAACAACAATTCGATGAATGTGGTTTATTACAAATCCGATTAGCGTTAGCGTAAAAAAAGAAAATTGCTCGCCTTTATTTAAAGAATACCAATTATTATTTATGCAATTCACACGATGATCTATTCATTGTATTCGAAAAGAGCGAGCATTCCATAAATGGACAAGAGAATACGTTGACGGATAACCATCTTATAGATATATGTGGGAGAAAGTTACCTAAAGAATTGAAGAACTAAGGAGTAGGTACAAACTTATTTGCGCAATCTGTTGTGAGAGAATTAATTCTTGGCAGAAACGGGCTAACCGGAAATAAAGAACATATCCGGATTAGCTCCTTCGATGACAGGTAAAATTTTTACCAAAGACTGAATATTATCGTTGGTATATAAATTAATGTAATGAAGTAAAATTTTAAAAACATTTCAAATTGTATCAATTATAATTTTGAAAAAACAAGCAGAACTTAATAAAATAATTCGAAGTGGTCTGTATTCTGTCGAAACTGCCAGACGCGGATCGTGATTTCAATCTTTTTGGATCTCATCAGCGCGTCTGGCAGTTTCGACAGAATAAAGACCACTTCGAATTATTTTATTCGATTAAGCTAACGTACCTATCACGTTGAGGTTGGCTACGCCGGGATTCGTTTTCAGCAAGTAGATATCCACACAAGTGTACCTTGTTGGAGCATACGTAATCCTAAAATGTAGCATCGTTCCTTCAGATGGCGTTTACTGCGCCATTTGTAGTATTTTCTAAAACGCGCTGTTAATACAGCAGGTAAAAGTTGGTCTGTGTTCTGTCGGAGCTGTCTGCGACGCGCTGATGAGATCCAAAAATATCGAAATCGTGATCCGCGTCTGGCAGTTTCGACAGAATACAGACCACTTCCAATTATTTTATTCGATTAAGCTAACGTGCGTATCACGTTGAGGTTGTGTACGCCGGGATTCGTTTTCAGCAAGTAGATATCCACATAAGTGGACCTTTTTGGAGCATACGTAATCCTAAAATGTATTATCGTGCTACAGATGGCGTTTACTGCGCCATTTGTAGTATTTTCTAAAGCAGAACTTAATCTACCGATTTTGATCAAAATTATTACGTTTAGGTACAGAAAGGCTGTTCCACTAGAAAGTTGTTTTGTAATGGTTTGTTTTACATTAAGGGTAAAGTAAAAATTTTTCTTTTCTCAAATCCTATCGAGTGTGGTATCAAAATAAAGATTTTATACATGGCTTACAACTTGTTTATTTGGAACGAGAAATGCTAAAAAAACTATTTTTTCTCTTCATTTATGTAAGTTTGAAAATTTTACGTTTACAATTTTCACACGGTGTGATTTTTTTTTGTTTTCTTTTTTTTTTCAATAATTAATAGTACTTGTTAATTACTTAGTTCTTATTAGACGATACTGTCACAAAATAACAAGAATAATAAAAAACACAAAAGGAAAAAGCGCCGTTGGGGCATGAATTCTGCTTACATTCATCGTAGCAAGTTTTAACTGAAGTAATATATGTAAATGTGTCCTTATTTTCATTTCTGTATTTGTTCTGACGGGCTCTTTCAATAATTTTTAATTAAATCGGCGCGGTAGGTAACATTTTAAAGAAAGCAATATTTTTTTGTATCCTTTGGTTTACCTATTATCTAATTAAATGAAATCAGAATCTTTCAAATCGACCGACGCGCTGTGCCTCATTAAACTGAGCCGAGCCCAATTAATCAAATAATCAAAGTGAGGTTGCATTTTTTCACACTTAGCTAATGAAAAAATCAGCATAAAATAGACAAACCAATTTTTTTATAGACAATAATTTGTTGGTTGGTTGTTACGCTAAAACATTGGTCATCAGAATCACCGAACGAGTAAATTCAAACTCTTCTTCAAAAAATTAAAGCTAAGCTACTGATGTACTTATAATATTTTTTTTGTCAATGTTTATATTATTACGATCGTCACTATTATTACTATCGCTATTCATAGAAGTAATTTTAAGCCTCAGGCTATTATATCGCCTAATAACACATCTTCATTATAAATACGACATATTTTCAATCGCATAAAAACCCGCAGACATGCGCAGCTGATTTTGATTTTAAGCAACTCAGTCATTATACCTATAGCTCTATTATTGTCTCCTTTGTTAACATTCTTATATTCATTTTTCTATTTCTTGTATCTTAAAATATAGGTTTTTAAAACTAAAAGCTGCTCAAATTCTTTTCTGCTCGGGAGGGTTAAATGTACCAGCGTTAAAAGAGGTTATTATAAGCTTTAACGGCTACTACTCTAGTAATAATCACGGAAACCCAACAGATTGAGCTCAAGTAGAAATATATCCTTTGAAATTTCACAA